AAAAAAAAAAGAATACCATATATAATTAGAGAAAAGTGGTAAAGAGTAAAATAAAATAAAAAGTTCATCTTGATGTTTTACAAATGTAGTAAAATAAAAATGTGTATGTTTTAAATACAGGAATTGTCTACAAAATGTATATTTTGAAAGAGCTTTTTTTGTGAGCACTAATATTTGACTTTCTTGTTTTTGTATTTTTTCTGTATTACTTTTACTAATAGAAAGGCTGAACATTTACTAGAATATTTTTTTAAAGAAAAATTTTTGGGTGTAAGACTTCAAAGATTCTCTTGTGATATAATGCAGCATTAAGAAAAAACAATTTTGTAAAATACTATACAACATGAAAGAGTCTAAAGAGCATTATGCTGAATGAACTGTTTCATGAGTTCAAATACTGCATATGACTAATATTGTAAAACGGAAGGATAACTAGTAAGATCTGTATAAATGTCCAGAAGGGAAAGGGGGAAGGGAACAGAAAAAGTCAAAGGGGGGAAATCACCAGGGGATAGTAGAGTTTAGTGAGCAGACTGAGGTTGGGGTCGGGGTGTGTGTACAAAGGAAAAGTTTAATGGGGACTTGAAAATATGGAGCAATAACAGGCACAGATCAATATAAAATATATATGAAACATAATGTAAATGAAAGACTGTACAAACCACAATGTACATGAATGAATCACAATGTAAATGAATTCCTATATTCAAATCAATAAAAAACAAAACAAAAAAATTTCCTGTGGATACAAGTCTATTCCTAAGCAATATCAAATTAGTAACTATCCTAATTAAGTTTTAAATGTTAATGTATCATTAGTTAAAATATAACTTTAAAACTTAAAATATTTACCAGCAAGCTTTTCAGTCATATCCTGTTTTGCTTTTCCATTTAAAAACTGAGCTTTTGTGCAAAATGGCTGTAGAAGTAAGTAGTTATCTGAACCAAAAGAACAAAACAAAGACATATTTAAAACTTCTTAATCCTCTAAGCTATTTATAATTTAATAATATTAAAAAGAAAAATCATTTTTTTAAGAACACGTGTTCAAAACTATAAAAATCCTTCATCTTATAGTAAATAAGAATATGGATATCTCATAAAGGAGCTATCACATGATATAGAAACAAAGAAAGAGTTGCCTATCTCTTAAATATCATATTCTAAATGATAGTACAGAATAAGTTAATAAAAAACAAACAAACAAAAAAGGGAGCTCTGATGGCCCAGTGGCAAGAAGCTGCATTGCAATTCCAAAGGTGTGTGATTCGAATCCTTCTAGAGAAGAAGGGGCAAAACACACACACACACACACACACACACACACACACACACACATTTTTAGGGAAAACTTTAACCTGTATTGATTTTTTTAAACTTTTAAATTTAAAAGTTCATAAGAAGTTGTAAAGACAGTACAGAGGTCCTATGTACCCTTTTTGTCCTTTCCTTTAATGGTTATGTTGTACATAATTATACTATAATATGGACTTAGGAATTAAACATGGATACAATGTGCTTATTTTTTTCAAATGTGTATATTTCTATTTAATGTTTATGCTATAAATGTGTTTGCAATGTATATATTTACTTCCCTCCACCCCTTTGGTTGTTGTTGATCCATTCAACCACTGAATATATATGGGTTGTTACTAGTTTTTGGTAATGTTCTGTCCTGATGGACTGAATATTAAATATCATTTTAATATTTCCTTAAAGAAACTATTTTCCAATCAACATTTTGGCTAAGATCAAGTGTAGATCAAGTGCAAAGTACTATTCACATTCTTAACAATAATGTATGTACAGTTTCTCTACATCTGTTTCAGAATTTGGTATTGTTACTTTTTTCCCTCTTACATTTTATGTTATTAATTTTAATGAACATTTACAGAGATTTTGGATTTCCATCCATTCATTGTTGCACTTTTCTCCCTGCCCAGCCCTCCCCCACAGTTCACTACTCTCTTTGAAAAGTAAAAGAAAGATTCTTTCATTGGTGTACAATACCCCCCCAAACACCCCCCCCAGTACACTCCACTATGCAACCTTAATTCTGGACTCTTGTGATAACCATAATATCCTATCATATATCACTTATAAATTGTTCTCTCCCTCATCTGTTTCAATGCAGTACACTACCCCAACCCTGATGTCAGTTCCATTCTACAACAGTGGCACCATGTAGTATTTGTCCTTTTGTGACTGAGATATTTCACTCAGCATAATGTCCTCTAGGGTCACCCATTTTGAATAATATTGCATGAGTTCCTTGTTTTTCAATGCAGTGTAGTATTCCATTGTGTGAATATACCACAGCTTCTCTATCCATTTGTTTGTTGATGGGCACTTAGGTTGTTTCCAACTCCTTGCTATTGTGAACAAAGCCGCGATTAACATGGGTGTGCATGGTATTGTTACTTTTTTAAGTCTTGTCATAGGTACAATTTCTCAGTGTTCCAACTCAAGGCTTGAATTTGTTTTCAATTCTCTAAGCTTGAGAAATGCCAAGAGAGTTCTTACCTTTTTATTCTTTGATTCTAGCTCTGCACATTTTGTTACTATTTTGCTTTATCTTTTTGAGCTGCCCTTTGAACTCTCTGTTCATCTTCTCTATGGTATAATGCAATTTTCATAGTCTCTTCTGACATCCATTTTGCTTTTTTCATGCTCCTCTGTCTTTGTAATGACCCTTTGCGCTCTTCATGAATGATATCCTTGACATCCTTTCTTAGTTCCTCTAGTCTTTTATTCACTGTTTTGAACCTATTCTTGAGATAATTTTAAAGTTAGGTGAGAAAGATTCTCATGGGAACCAAACAACAACAATAATATGTGCTGTAAGTATTTGCATGTCCTGCTGGTGTGGATACGGAATATACCATGGACTGTCAAAAGAACAAACAAATCTTAGCAGAAGTTCAGCCAAAGTAGTCCTTAGAGTCAAAGATGGTGAAACTATGTCTCATATACTTTGGGTATAATTAGGGGCCAGTCATTGGAAAAAGATGATATGCTGGAAAATATGGAAGGTCAGAGAATTAGAGGAAGATCTTCAACAAGATGGACCTAGTGACTATAATAATGGACTTGAACACAGAGGCGATTGGGAGGATAGCATATGTTAGGGCAATATTCTGACCTGTTGCATATTCTCGATAGGGTGTTTGGTCAGATACGTGGTTTGTAAATATTTTCTCCCATGTTGTCGCTTGACTTTTTATCCTCTTAATAGTCTTTCAAAAAATAAACACCTTTGCTGTTGATAAAGTTCAACTTATTGATTTTTTTTGAGATTTCAATGAAAATTTATATAGAGAACTTGGATTTTCATTCATTCATTGTTGCACATTTTCCTCCCTGAGCACCTCTCCCCGTCAGTTCACTTTTCTCTTTGAACAGAAAAAAAAATTCTTTCACTGATAGACACTCCCCCTCCCAGTCCACTTAAGTATGCAGCTCTTATTCTGAACTCTTGTCATGCAAATAATACCTAAGTTTGGGTAGGGCTTTTTGTGTCATGGCTAATAATGTCCTAAAGATTTCTTCTTTGTTTTCTAGATATAATTGAGGATATATTTTAAGTTATATATGAGGTTGAACTTGTGGTACAGAAAAAAGAATGACGGAAGAAATATCCTGTTAATGTCTGTGCCGCTAGATGTATTTCAGCTTCTACAGCAACTTCATGTCACATGGTAGAAGTGTTCTTAATAGTTGTTTGCTGTGTACCATTGAGTCAGAACTGATCCATAGCTGACCTTCCAGTGGGTTTTCAGAGGCACTTTATCATATGGGAAGAGACTGTCCTTCTTTCTCCTTTGGAGTAGCTCGTGGATTAGTGCCTTTGGGATTGTAGAGTCTTGTCCACCTGAGGTCCCTTAAAGATTACTGTTGTTATGTGTCATTGTTTCTGAGCCAATTCATAGCTGACCCTTGAGCAGGTCTTGAGAGGAACTGGAGAAGACAGCTTGTCTCTCTCCCAATGAGCAACTGATGGATTCAACTGTTTGCCTTTTGGTTGACAATGCAACTCCTTGCCCACTAGACCATCAGAGATACCCAGAAAAAGGACTGAAAAGGTCAAGATAAGAGAAGGATACATGAATTTAATGGCTATTAAATAATAATAATAATAAAATCATATATTATCTCAGTATTATAAAAATATGTAGGAACAAAAAAATGCAAAACCATAAATGGTTGTATTAAGAGGGAAGAATGACTGGTTCTTGAAATTTCCCCCTTTATTTTGATCTTTTACCTTTACCAATATTGTATATAAGAATTCTTACCTACATGCTGACTTAGTGCCTGCACAACATTTGTGGCAGCAGTGTAGATCCCTGGATTCTTGGAATTCAGGTTGTTGTCTACAATTGCTGGAATTAGCATGTTGATTATAGGAGATAAATTGTCTCTAAGCATAGGAATCATTTTATGCATTGTTTCTAAAGCCACCAGATTTACTTTACTATTGGAATCATGTAGTCGAGATTTAAAAGCATCAAATATCTGAAAGTAAATACGTAAATTAATTGACATGTTTACAGTCACTAATTTTAATTTCACGTCAGCTTTTTAATGCATCTCTCCTATCTTACCCTTCTGTAAAAGACACACACACACATATCTTACTTAACTTGAAGTCAGAGAAAAAGTAAATTTATAAAAACTGGAACAGAGTCTAACCATTTGAACCACTGGGTCAAAAAGATAATGTGTCAGAAGTCATTCAACCTCAAAGACTTTAAACATTAATAAAATGAAGTTTAGAAATTTCATTCAGTAGGCAAATGACTGACCCATTCAATGTAAATGTGTTAACAAGTTGTTTTCTGGATGGTATGATTAGTTTAGCTAACTATTATTTAGCTAGCTTTTATTTTAATCTTTAGTAACAGCAGAGAGAGGGAGGGCTGTAAATTTTACTGAGATTAGTTCCAGTTTAGTCTGTTACGACAATTCTAGAGGCAATTTCAGAGCTGAATTTTTACTACTGTCTCTTAATTGGACTGATCAATTTAACAATTATTCCTTCTTCAGAATCTTTAATGTTTATAAAATCAAGATACAGGGTTATGAATGAGATAAATTCCTACATGTACCTTTAGGTTGAATTTGTAGTTAAGTCAGAATGAGTGCATTCAATTACTATCTAATCTTAGCTCATGAAAAGAAGGCCTGGTGATACATTGGATTAAGCATGATTTGCCAAGTAAAAGGCCTGTAGTTCAAATCCATTAGTGTCTCTGTGGGTGAAGATGAGGCAGTCTTTATCTACAAAGATTTATAGTCTGAATGTTATGAGGTAGTTCTATTCTGCCTATAGAGTTATCAAGTCAGAACAACTTAAAGTGAGTTAGCGTTTTGGCTGTAGTGTAAGAAAACTCATGATGCTTTTTCAATGATTTAGAAGCTACATGAACAGCAAGTGAATGTGACTGTGATGGCTTTTTCCTGGGTTGGTTTAAGGAGTCCTGGTGGTGCAGTGGTTAAAGTGCTCAGCAGCTAACCAAAGGCTAGTGGGACAAATTCACTAGCTGCACTACTGGAGAAAATCCAGCAGTCAGCTTCCATGAGCTATAGAACATTGGAAGCCCCATGGTATGGTTCTGTCTTACAGACGCGAGAGGACTTTGAGCTCAGTGATGATGGTTTTGGTTTTTCCTCAAAGTGTATCTATGTAACATTAACAAGTAAGTACAAGTTGTCTGTAAGCTGGATGTAGGTAACCAGAGCACTTACTGTATAATTGTATCATAATCATGCCAGGTGAGTAAAAAATTACTCTTAAGAGACTGAAACTGTTAACTTGCTATATTTATCTGGCTATCTATCAAGGATTTTATTAAGAACAATATTTCCAAAAGATTTCTTTTGACTCAAAAATGTATTAGAAAATGTAGCTTTCCAGATCCAAAACACAGTAGTAAGATAGTACTTTTGTGTATCATGGACAACACACTGCTAGAATTAAGAGTAGCTGTTGGCAGTGCAGAACAGCAGGGAGGTGAAGCCAAGAGTCAGAGGTTTAGTGCACTGAGGGTTGAGGTGCTTCCTGATGCCCCATCTTGCCCCTAGATGAGTCCATAATACTTCTCTTATATGATAAAAAAAAGGAGTAACTGTTGGTTATAATTTCACAGTACTTAACTAAATTTATGGTGTGTTTCAGTAACATTGTTGACATAGTATGTATGTAATCTCTTGGGCTTGTAATCAGATGGTTGGTGGTTTGATCACCTGTGCCATACGAGAGAGATGAGGCAGACTATTCCAATAAATATTTACAGCTTGGAAACCTAATGAATGTTCACAATGATTTAGAATTGACTTGATGGCAGTGTTTTTGTTTCCTTTTTTATTATTATTATTAATGTCAATGAAAATTTACAGATTCTTTGGATTTCCATTAATTCATTGTTGCACTTTTCGTCACCCCCACCCTCTCCATACACTTCCCTCTTGGAAAAGTAAAAGAAAAATTCATTCATTGTTTTACAATCCTGCACCCCAGGTCTACTCCACTATGCAGCCTTCACTCTGGAGTTTCCTTTTGTTTTTAATGGTATATTTGTATATCACACAAATGTAAAATTGAATTAATAATGTACTGAGAAATTTAAATGAACTAAATTCAGATAAAGAGTAAATAATCCATGCTCAGGCAACCCAATATTTATTAATATCTCCCATTCCATCATTGGTTATCTTTTAAAATTGGTACACACAGAGCTCTAATCCACATATGAAAATTTTTAGTATCTATTTTCAGCAATAACAAGTCTCTTAAATGTTCTTTATTTTTGTAGTATTTATTGAGTGATTGAACATTTATTTATTGAATGCTGTATTCTGAGAACTCTGAAACAAAATTTTCATAGGGAGAAGGGAAGATTCAGACAAATAGGTAGCTATTTCCTTAACTGTTCTTTTCCAATTATTTGAGTTATTTTAATAAGCGTTATTAAAATAGCAACTTCTAACAACTTAAAATTAGATTATATATAATGTATATACACATACCCAACCCCTCACATAAAGTACAAAATATTTTTACTTTATTAAATATATATTGCAAAAGGAAATTAATTTTGAAAGGTTCTTACCTTCACAATGTTTCCAACAACAAGCTCTTGATTGTTTTCAGTATCTGATAAAAGCTGTTTAATTCCATTAATACGATCACGAAAATCTTTTGCATTTAATAAGCCTGTTATGACTTTAACATACTCAGCACTTTCTAAGGAATTACGGGGAACTGATTTTCTGTTCACTTCACGAACTTCAGTGACATCTCTAAAGTCAAAGAAAGGTAAAATTTTATTTCGTTGTTACCTTCCTATAAAAAATAACATGAAATGATGTTTTTAATACATTAGTTTATAGAAAATTATAAAAAGGCTTTTTTTAATCTATAAAATTTATTTTCAGATTTCTTTTAGGGAGTTCTGATGGTATTGTCCATAGGGAGCTGAACTGTTAACCCAAAGGCTGAGTGTCTCTCATAGTTTGAATCCACCAGTGGCTCTATACAATGAGCAATCTCTGCCTATGTGATTTACAACCTCAGAAAACCAATGTAAGGTTCCCTGGGTCAGTTCTGATACTATAGAAGTTTTTGTGTTTTTTTGTGATCTGCACAAACATTAGAAGCAGCATGTAGACAGCTGCTTCTGTCTTCTATTACTTTTACAAAGGCAGAACAGTCACATCAGTAACATCAACAATAAAAAACCTAAATACTGTAAGGTCAGACATGATCTCCAGGCTTTTGAACTATTTCTACTAATTTCAACACTAATCATACTACTTCTGAAACGGCTTGCCTCCGGAAACTCTATGAACATGGAAAATGAACAAAGTTATACAAGTGTTCAGGTCTTTCATTCATAGGGTCGCTATGAGTCATCTGTGACTTGACGGCACTTAACAACAATAATAATAACAATCACACTACTCTATTACGGGGTCCAAAGTCTGTTGCAATTGTCACACAGACTGCACAGAGCCGTACTCACAGTTACAGAATTTATTAGGGAAACAAAGGATACAATTCAGGTTTTACACACACCCCATCCCCCACAACCCCTGTAGCAGAAAACAATAGAGACTCTCTGAGTATTTGGAAATTAAATGCTCTACTAAAGAACACGTGAATTAGAAAAGAAACCACAAGGGTATTACTTAGCATATCCTAATATCAGATCCAAAGACAGCAAGCCAATTAGAACTACAGATCAATATTCCTCATGAATGTCACAAAAATACCCCAAATCTAATTTATATCTAATGATAAATGAAACAACATCATGAAATTATGAGGCTAAACTAAAAAGAGAATTTTATTCAACATCTGAAAACCAATCTTGTAATTCACTATAGTAAAAGGACAAAGAAAAAATATTTGACCATATGAATAGTTCTTGAGAAAGCATTTGACAAAATTCAACACCCATAAAGAATTAAAACTCTCAAAAAAAAAAAATGAAAACTCTCAAATAAGGAGAGGAGACTTCTTCAGCCTGATAAAAGGCTTATATGAAACCCATAATTAATGTCATTATTTGAGTATGAAATCCTGAATGCTTTACATCTAAGTTTAAGAATAAAATAAGAACATTTGTTCTTACAATTTCCAATTAATACTGAATTCAATGTTACTGACAGTGAGACAACAAGGCAAGAAAAAAGATTAAAAGCATATGGATTTGATAGGAAGAAATAAAATGCAACATGATCTTGAACAAGGAAGTAAATACTGATGGTACTGAATTATAACCCATAGAATAAAATAAATATCCAACAGTTCATAATACCATGAATAAATATTTGAAAAAAAATTAATAGAGTCAAGGGGCTGGCTTTTTTAAAAAAACAGAAGAATTTTTTTATTATTATTATTAATTTTAACGAAAGTTTACAGAGACTGAGGATTTTGACTCATTCATTGTTGCAAAAAACCCAGAAGAATTTAATGAAAGTGGTAGGAATGATGAATATATCTCAGAGTGAGAAAAGATACAATTAACCCAAACTGAATGACATTCTACAACTTACTCAATAAAGTGCTTTGTAAAGGCCTAACACATAGCACATAATCAACAAATGTTCTAAATACATGTATACTTTTGACAGGTGCCAAAGAGGTTTTGACCAAAGAACTTATGTAATTATATCTTACTGTGCAAAAACAGCTGATTCTGATTCAACAGATGTAAAGGGAGTATAAAATTCTTCATTTTAAATCAACTCCTAGGTAATGCCAATGTGGCTGTTCTATGGACTGTACTTCACTCACTCATTCTCACTGCTGTTGAGTCAGAATGGACTCATAGCTGAGTCCCAATTTCACTAGGTTTCCAAAGTTGTAAATTGCATGGGAGGATACTGCCTGTCTTTTTCCATGGAGCCTTTAGTGGATCCAAACCTCCAGAGATGTAAGGCCATGGGTTAGCAGTGAACCTCTCTATGGACTATGTCACCAGAGCTCCCTGTAGATTTATTGGCAAAGCTTTAAACCATAATTCTCATACATGTTATTTTTCATAAAAATTATTAATCTATAAAATACTTCAAAGATAAAAAGAGAAATGATGGCAGATGCTTATATATCCACTCACAAAGTATGTTGCTAAAAATCACTTAAAAATATACCAGACTGGCCACAGTAATATTCTGGAAATATTTTAAAAACTTATATAATCACTAGATTCGAGACTGCAGCCAGCACCATAAGCCTCCTCAACAAGCCCAAGAGTGAGATGACCCCAGAGGAGCTGCAAAAGCGAGAGGAGAAGTTTAACACTGGCCAGCTCTCCGTGCTCACGCTGTTGGTCAAGAAAAACACTCAAGTGCTTATCAACTGTCGCAACAACAAGAAGCTCCTGGGCCACGTGAAGGCCTTCGACAGGCACTGCAACATGGTGCTGGAGAACGTGAAGGAGATGTGGACCGAGGTCCCTAAGAGTGGCAAGGGCAAGAAGAAGTTCAAACCTGTCAAAAAGAACCGCTACATCTCTAAGATGTTCCTGCGTGGGGACTCGGTCATCGTAGTCCTCAGGAACCCCCTCATCGCTGGCAAGAAGGGTCACCCTCGTCTCTACAGCCCTGCCCCACAGCCGCCTCCCGCCACCCTGGAAGACCCGTCCCATACTGGGAATACTAAAGTCCCTGTGGGTTTTTTCCTACTAAAAACAACTATATATATA